AACAAACATGTGGCAAGCACGCACCAATCTGTCTTTGTTCTTGATAGTAGTTACATAGAGAAACCTTGTAGGAAATCGAAAGCTCCAGTACAATGTACATTGCTACCCTATGAGCAGTGGGTAGTCTTCCTCAGAAATGCAGACCTCTCCCAGGGCAGATGTGGGAATCTCAACGTGATTTATTTCAAATTCACAAAGTTCTTCCTTTTCTCTAAAAGTTAAGTTCTCGAAATAAGTGGAATATTCAAATTCAGAGATGGGATGCCCCACTCAACCATGTGCTTGTGTAACATGGAAGGAAAGCACTATGAAATTTTTCTAGTCCATCTTCCTAGTGTTTTTCACTATTTGAGACTTGCAATGTAACAAAATATCAGACTTATCCAGACAAAGTTCTGGTCTTCTGCCTGGGACTGGGGAGGTAATTCCTGCCTGAAAGGAATGTCTTTGTCTGCCGTGGGCCAGCCAGATAGGAGCATTATTTATTCTGGGGGCTTTGGACCATCCAAGCAATGGGATTTAGAGTGAAGGCTTTGTCTTGGATGGTATTGGTTTAGCCTCTTGAGGGTGCAGAAACTAGATCAGTCACATGGACATTCAACTAGGAATGAATGATGGAGTTCCAGTGACACCAAGGATTGGATGGGCTGCCCAAGTTGGCAATGCCCTGTGAGTGCTGCTTTCCCGACTATGTGGGGAGAAGGTAAAGAGAAGCCCATGTTTGGTACTATTCCTGGACCTTGTTTTATTTTTCTCTTCTTACGGTCATTTTAAAAAAAATATTTGTGTATTTGAAAGGCAGAATTACAGAGAGGGAGGGGGAAAAGGGAAGAAGGGGTGAAGAGAGGAGGGAGAGAAAGAGAGAGAGAGAGAGAATCTCCCATCTGCTGCTTTTTTCCCCAAATGGGTGTAATGGACAGGTTAGCTCAGGCTGAATCTGGGATCCAGGAGCCTCATCCACGTCTGCCACCTGGGTACAGAAGCCCAAACATTTGGGTCATTTCTTCTGCTTTCCAGGTATTTTAGCAAGGAGTGGTACTGGAATTGGAGCAGCTGGGATTAGAACCTGCACCAAATATGGGATACCAGCACCATAGGCAAAAGGTTTATCTGTTAGGCCATAATTCCAGCCCCTTGTAGTTATTTTTAATGTGTGTCCTGGTAAACAGTAACTCTGAGTGTCATAGCTTTCAAAAATTCTAATGTGTAGCTGAAACTGAAGGTGGTCTTGGGACATCTCCCAATTTACAACTGGTGTCATAAGTGAGGAAGAGTTGTCTTATTAACTATTCCCCAACTTTATAGTTGGGTAGCTTTTGTAGTTGGCATCTGGTTTGGGATTCACTAGAATGACTGCACTCATTGAAATGTGGGTTTTAGGGACAGAGAAGGTGAGGAGACGGGGACTGGTGAACCTTCAGTTCCTGGTCATCTATGGTATAGAGTTATGTCTGTGCCACGTTATTTGAAACTAAAGTTACTAGAGGTTAAAGTTATCAACAGATATCAGCAATGCTAGATCCAGCTCCCAAGGAATAGGCTTATTGGACACATAAGAGAATGTAAAATAATGAGAAATAATCCAAATATATAATCCCTCATTTATTATCATCTGTAATAACTAAAATGCAAGTGGTGGAGAATGTTGGGCTTTGTCCTGATGTGGGGATATGTTCAGATTTCTGGTGATCTGAGTTATTGCAGTTGGCCCACGAGTCACTCCTGAAGGGAAAAGTTACTCTGGGGCAGCAGATGCTTTGGTTCTTGTCTCCGGTCATCAAGAGGTTCACCAGGTTGAGAAGTGATGATATCAAGAAGGAGCAAATATGTGATGATTGCTTTACTTTGTAGCTCATTGTCATTAACTTCCTAGAAAACCTTTACTTAAATGATTATGAGAGGCTATCTTAGGGCCAGCGGTACTGATTTTGACCACTGACGAGTGAAAGAAAATACTTGATTTGATGTAGGACCCATGCTCACCATTGAATAACCATAGATTGCTCTGCATGATCCAGACATATAGTAGGTTACTAACTTGGTGTACTGGATGAAAGTTTCTGTAAAATTTCTTGCTTTTGAGGAAGGACAAATGTTATCCTCAGTGAATTCTGAATGGAAGTTGAAAGCTGCTGTGTTTTGTATGTGGTCCATGCTGGAGTGACTTTATCACAATCAAGATATTTGTCCATTAATATGACCTATAACTAGGTCATAGTAAATCCTGTGACCAGGGTGCCTTTCTTGCCTCTCCCCGCCTCCCCAGACACCCATGTAATCTTGCTGCTTTGAAACTCAACAATGGTGTTGAGAAAGCCTTGTTAATAGGATCTTGGTTTGCCTTATTGGTTTTACAAATATTTAAAAATTTAAAATGATTCCCAAGAAAGTGAGGAAAGACAAAAGAAAGAGGCAAAGAGCATACCCCAGCAGAGTGGAAGCTATAGGTGATCATTAAGGCATAGGAAGGATAAAGCTAACATTTTTGGAGTTGAAACAGAATCTGAAAATAGACTCAAAAAAGGTATTCATCATTGGATGAATAGATGAAGAAAACGTGGCATATATAGACATGGGACACTATTCTATAAAGAGTAAAATTCTGTCATTTGCAGGAAAGTGGATGGAACTACAGGACGTCATGCTAAGTATGATAAGTCGGACACAAACACCACATATTCTCCTTTGCATGTGGGAGTTAAAAGAAATCTCTAATTATGAGCACAGATTATTGATTCCTAGAGGCTGGGAGGAATGGCGAGGAGAGAGGGAATTTGAATTAAAATATTTAGGAAAAATTGGTTATGGTTTATGGACTCTGATACATATATAATAATATGTTGATATGAAAAATATTTAATAATATTGATGCTGGGTGTGTGATATATGGGAACTCCACCATTTTTATTTTGTTAATTTAAAACTGTTCTGAAACAGAAAAGTTAAAAATTTAAATAATAAACATATAGATTTAAAAAATTTGAATAAAATTTAAAAATACATCTGGGTAAATCTTGGGAATTCCTTTAGGCTCTTGCAGTATTAAATGGCTTTAAACAATTCTACTGAACTTACTTTGATTTGGGAGAATGAAAACATTTGGAAGGCAAAGGTGGCAATGAAAAACCTGAACTTGAATCACCATTGGCAATAAACTACCAGTTCATTTGAGATGAAGAGTGACAAGAGACCTGGGTCATCTAGCTTATATTGCAGCTGGAGACTCAAAACTTTCTGTACTTGTGTGAGTAAAATGGCTGGAAATGTAGAGACGAGATTTCTGAGATACCTTGGTAAGGGACTCTGATGTACTGTGAGTCCAAAATTTGTTGGTAAAGTCCTACTGGAGGTCATAGATTGGGAGGATAAATAATGGATCATGGGATAAAGGTGAATGTTTTGATGAGAACTGGGATGTTTGAAATGGCTTCATGTGTTTCCTTTACACAAATACAATATTGGATGGACACTATGTTTGACTGGTAACTTCCCCTACCCAGTGTTGCAAAATAGAAAGCATTTGAGTCTTTCCCTAAAATTGACCTTGATACTAAAGATATGGTATAGAGCTGTGTCTGGGTCATGTTATTCGAAGCTAAAGTTTCTAGAGGTTAAAGTTATCAACGGATATCAGCAATGCTAGACTCAGCTCCCAAGGAATAGGCTGATTGGACACATAAGGGAATGCAAAATAATAAGAAATAATCCAAATTATTTCCCCAAATCAACCTTGCATACTAAACAGCAGCCTTGAGATCTATTTGAATCCTACATATTGTTAATTTGAAGCAATAGAAGATATATAGTTGAACAAAAATAATGAAATATTCAAAGCTGAAGTGCTGGTATCAATGATTGTTTTACGCAGTAACCCTGTATAGCTTATGTGTAAAATGGAGGGCTCATGTAAAGTGACAGGGAAATATTAAACTTGAGTAAAGTAGTGCTACCAATAGCATTAGCAGTCCTGACATATTTCAACAGGAAAAAAATATACTACAGGTCCTGAGGGTTACTACTCAGTGATTGATTTTGCCATGCCCCCCTTTTTTTCTGTCTTGATCTTGGAAAATATCCAATTGCTACTTGCCTTCATGTGGGAAGGATTCCAATTTATATTTACTGTATAATATATATTCCAATTTATATTTATTTGAATTCACCAGCTGCTGTTATAATTTGGTTGGAAGAGATTTGGAATGATTGAGATTGTTAGTATCATGATATGCTGTATGGATGTCATGTTAGTACTTGAAACTGAAAATCAAGTTTGAAGTTATGTGATCTAAATGCCAGAGTGACACACATGGCCATTAGGGGCTGGCTGAGAAGTGTAGCAAAGGCCCAGTGGCCTGCCTTGATGGTGGAATTCTGGGGAATAACCTGCACAGGAGACAGCTATCACATTCTGTATGTAACTAAAACTGCTGTGGATTTTGGAGGATGCATATTCCATATTGGGAATATTGCTAGTTCTTCTCTTTGAAACTACCCCAAAAGAATGCTGTGTTTAAAGGTGGGGAAGTGAGGGGAGGCACAAATTAGAATCAGACCATGTCTATTGCAAGAAGGAATTGCTTTCTTGACACTTTGGGGCTATTAAGACCCACACTCATACATGGTTTAGGCAGTGTCTGTAGTATGCTTCTTTAGACTGGAGGCTCTTGCAAAAGCTTGTGAGTGCCACCCAGAGGTGACCACTGGGATTTTGTACCAGAACATTCCTGGGTAATGTGGTAAGATGTATGCTATTTGAAAGACAAAACTACTAGTCTGCTATTGTCATTAATGGGAATTGCTTCTATGACTGAAAGACATAAATCTGAAGCATCCATCATGTCTTGGGTGATGCCAGAAAAACACTAATAAGAGAGACAATGCTCTAAAGAGTTCAATAACAAAATGGACATGGTTATGCAGATACATGATACTGGGGTAGGTGGGGTGAGGAAGCAAAGGGATAAGCACTATTCACCAGCAGGTGTGCTCCTTTCTTTTAGGACTGGCTTTGCAACTACTTGAGGAGCTACTTGTGGGTCCTGTTGCCACATGGACGATGCCCTGTAAAGACATCTATGCTAACCAAGAACGGGGTGCTTGGTTTTTGGATGGCAGTTCCAACGGTAGGTGAATGGTATTCTGCTTGGAAGGATCCCACACTAAGTTTGGTGGTTGAAGAGGTTCCAATAAAAGAAAGTCACACACATAGCAGCTGTTGGCTTGCATGCTATTTGCCTTACAGTACCCAGAGAACTGAAGAGCAATACACGCTTGTTGGTTTGTTTTTATGGACTCATGAGCAATGGCCAACAACCTGGCCATAGGGTTAGGTAGACGGGCAGTGGAACACTAGCCTGTTCAATGGAATCCCATATGAGACACAAATGAGAATGCTGCAAGAACTTGGGTAAGTTTATAGTAGCATTTATTTCTAGTCTGCTCAAGGCATATTTGATAACATCTACAATAGCAAAGCTCTTGGGGCTTGCTGGGAGGCACAGATGGTTGCTTCTGATGAACATCTTGGTTGTCAGGGCCTCTGTGGTGTGTTGGGGAAGGTTAGGGAGGGAAGGCCAGAGGAGAGGCCTGCCATGGCAGTCTACTACCTCTCTCTGTGCAATGGAGAGCCTGGCAGAACTCAGTGTCCTCTGTCTTGCATGAGGAACTGAGATGGACTCCACCAATGGACCACAGTTCTGGGTCTCTCTGCCAGACGAAGTTGAAGGTCTCTAATGAACTTGCTGATGGGGGGCTGCTCTGCTTTTGCTTCTCCCTGGCAAACTTGAACATAACCAATTTTGCAAAGTTAAAAGCAAAATATGGTTGATGGTATAAATTCAAAGTGTATAATATAGTGATCTTATAAATATATACATTATCTAATGATTATTATAATCAAAATGAAAAATCTCCAGAATTTGCTTATTTTATAACTGGAAGGTTGTGTGCTTTGATCAACATCTGCCTAACTCCACTACTGCCAGCTGTGACAATCACTATTCTACCCTGTATACCATGACTTCAGCTGTTTTAGGTTCCATATTTGAGTTCATTTAGTATTTGTTTTCCTGTGTCTGGATTTTTTCACTTTACATTATATCCTCCAAAGTCATCTATACTGCCACAAATGGCAGTTCCTTTTTTTTTTTTTAAAAAAGATTTATTTATTAACTTGAATGAGTTATATATAGAGAAATCTAGAAAGAGAGATCTTCCATCAACTGGCTCACTCCCCCAAATGGCAGCAAAAGCTGGAGCTGAGCTGATCCAAAGCCTGTATCCAGGAGTTTCTTCTGGGTCTCCCATGTGGAGAGGGGGCCTTCTACTGTTTCCCAGACCATAAAGCAGGGAGCTGGATCAAAAATGGAGCTGCTAGAACAGGAACTGTCACCCATATGGGTTGCTGGCACCACAGGCAGAGGGTTAACCTTATGTGCCACTGCCAGACCCCAGACGTTCTTTTTAATTTTTTTCTTAAAAAACATTTAAAGTTACTTATCTTTGTATTTGCGAGGGTTTCAGAATATGTATAAAAATGTATAGAAATGGTTATTAGTGTGTAGAAATGGCTTTTGTGTGCTGATTTTGTATCCTGCAAATTTACTGAATCAATTCTGAAGTTCTTCGGGTTTTCTACATATATGACCACATCATCTGTAAACAGAGACAATTTTACTTCTTAATCTGAAGCTTTTTACTTCTTTTTCATACTTAATTGTTTGTTTTGGATATTTAGTACTGCTAAGAGGAGGAGGCAAGAGGGAACTTTCTTGTTTTACTCCTGATTTAAGGAAAAAGTTGCAAGTTTTCACTGTTGAGTATGATGTTAGTTGTGGACTTATCATAAATGGCCTTTATTGGTTTAAGATGCACCACTTTTTCATCTAATTTGTTTAAAGTGCTTGTCATGGAAATATACGGTATTTTGCCAAGTGACTTTTCTGCATTTATTGATATGATCTTTTTTTAATCCTTTATCCTGTTATGTGTTATATCCTACTTATTGATTCTTCATTCTGTTATATGTTGTAACCTACTCATTGATTCGCATCTATTGATCTTGTTGCATCCTATGGCTAGATCCCACTTGACCACTATGAGTGATCCTTCTTTTTTTTTTTCTAAACATTTATTTAGTTTTATTGGAAAGGCATATATACAGAGAGGAGGATCTTCCTTCCGATGGTTCATTTGCCAAGTGACCGCAACGGCTGGAGCTGAGCCAGTCCAAAGCCAGGAGCCAGGAACCTCCTCCGGGTCTCCTACACGGGTGCAGGGTCCCAAAGCTTTGGGCCAGCCTCAACTGCTTTCCCAGGCCACAAGCAGGGAACTGGATGGGAAGTGGGGCCCCTGGGATTAGAACTGGTGACCATATGGGATCCCGGCATGTGTAAGGCGAGGACTTTAACCACTGCGCTATTGCGCCGGGCCCATGAGTGATCCTTCTAATGTGCTGTTCAGTTGGGTTGGCTAATGTTCTGATGAGAAGTTTTGCATCTGTCTTCATTTAGATTCATGGCTTGTGGTTCTCTTTTCTTTTAGTGTTTTTTTTTTGCTGGTTTTTGTGTCAGGGTACAAATGCTGTTCTGGTAAAGTGGGTTTGGAAGTGTTCCCTCTGACCCCATTTTTTTTTGAAGAATCTGAGTAGACTTGCCATAAATTTTTCTCAGAATGTTTGGTAGAATTCACTTGTGAAGCACCTGCTGTTAGGATTTTTCTTTGTTGAGAGGTGTTTAATGACTCATTTGATTGCTTTGCTTATTATTGGTCAGTTCAGATTTTTCATTTATTTATGATTCAATCTTGGTAGGTTGTGTGATTCAAAAAATTTATTCACTTCTTCTAGGTTATCCAGCAGGAAGAGATTGTGTAAGTGAAATAATACACTTGGAATTAAAAAAAAATTATATATTTTTATTTGTTTATATAGATAAAAGGAGAGAGGGAGAGAAAGAGAGAGAGAGAGAGGGAGAGAGGGAGAGAGGGAGAGACAGAAAGGGATTATCCATTTACTGGTTCACTCCCAAATAACTGCAACAGCTGGAGTTGGGCTGATCCAAAGCTAGGAGTCTGGAGCTTCCTCAGGAATTTTCATGTGGGTGCAGGGGCACAAGGGCCTGGACCATCTTCCACTGCTTTTCAAACACACTAACAGGGAGTTGGATCAGAAGTGAAGCAACTAGAACTTGTTCCAGTGCTCACATGGGATGCTGGCACTGCAGGCAGAGGCTTGTCCTACTGTATTATGATGCCAGCCTCTAAATAACACACGTTTGAATAAGCAATGGAACAAAAGAAATAAAAAGGGAAGTTAGAATTTATTTTGAGACAGATAAAAATGGCAAGATAGAGTACTAATACTTATGGAACGCAACAAAAGCTGTTTTAAGAGAAACTTTATAGCTATAAATGCATCTATTAAGACAAAAATATGATTTCATATCAGCAATCTACATTTCTATCTCAAGGACTGGAAAAGGAAGAACAAATTAAAGCCAATGTTTACAGGAGGAAAGAAATAAAGGTTAAAGCAGACATAAATAAAATAGAAAACAGAAAAACAAGAGAAAAGATGAATGAAGCTATGAGTTGGTCATTTTTGAAAAATAAGTTTGGCAAACACTTAAACTCACTGAGACTAATCAAGATGACATCAATAAGTAAGTAAGTAAATATCTTAACCTTAATCTTCCTTGAAACTCTGGTGGAGAAAGCCAATCTATCGGTTCCATATTATAAATACGTCATATTTTATTTACTTAGTAAAGACATTTTACTTTGAAATAGCCCCTAAGGCACAGTTGATAATGACTTACTCAGGGGAATCCTAGAGTAAGTGAGGCCTGCACCAGGTGTGCTGTCTCATGTCCCGGGCCCAGCCTGGTCTGCTCATACTCACAGGTGTAGCTCCGGGCTGCCTGGAGGCAGGTGGACCCTACATGTCCCCTTGGATGGTGCTGCCCTGGAAACTGACCTCAGCATTGTGGCTCTTCCTACTACCACCAGCACACCGCCCCAACTTGTTCCTTTCAATTCTTTGCATGTATGTTATGATTGTCTCAATGACTCCCCTCCTCCTTCTTCACCCAAACATGCCAGTCAATCATCTTGGAAAAACACTTAAACTTCCAAGACTTAAAATATCTGTTCCACAGAAACCATAGAGGAACAGATTGATCCATTTGACTGTGCAAAAATTTAAAACTTCTGTTTGGCAAAAGACAAGACTGTGAAACTGTAATTGCAGAACATATGATAAGATGGCTAATTGCCTCAATTTGCAAAATAATCCTTGTACAAATGAACAAGAAAGCAAAACAGCTCAGAAACAAAGTTAAAAGAGCAGACAGTTCACAGCAAAAATAGAAATGACATATAAGTGGATATTAATATACTCAGTCTCATTCATATGTATTTTTTAAAAAGCTGTATTTATTTGGAAGACAATGTGACAGAGAGGGAGATAAAGAATCTTCTGTCTGTTGGTTTACTCCCAAATGGCTGAACTGGGGCCGAGCCACACAAGAGCTGGGATTGGCCAGCCTAAAACCAAGAACCAGGAACTCCTTCTGAGTCTCCCACATGGGTGATAGGGACCAGGGACTTGGGTTATCATTTGCTGCTTTCCAGGCACATTAACAGGGAGCTTGATCAGAAGCAGAGTAACTGGGACTTGATTGGCACTCCAACAGAGATGCTGGCATCCCAAGCAGCCACCTAAATGCCTCTCCACAACGCTGGCCCCTCATCTGTTTGGTCTTGATGTCTTTCATTGAACACACTTTTTATTTGGATGCAATTAACTCCATCAGTTGTGACCTTAATGTTTTCTCTTTATTTTTGTTCTTGTAAGTGCTTCACTGTACTATATGTCAGGGAGATATTAAACCACAATATTTGCCATTAGCTTCTAACCTTTCACCTTGCTGTTGTTAATCCTCCCACAGCTCTCCAGTGTACTCTGGTAGGTAGGGATACAGTTTAATTTCTTCCCTTTCAGGGTGACAGTTTTTATAATACCATCTTTTATGCAATGTGTGCTTTTATCATTAAATTTAAAGATAGCATTTACCAAATCCTCATCTGTGGTTATAAACTTTTGGTTCTTTATCCCATTGCATTTGTCCAATTTTTGTTCTTGTGCTAGTGGCACACTTAATTTTTTAAAAAAGATTTATTTATTTTTAATTGCAAAGTCAGATATGCAGAGAGGAGGAGAGACAGATAGGAAGATCTTCCATCGATGGTTCACTCTCCAAGTGACCACAATGGCTGGTGCTGTGTCAATCCGAAGCCAGGAGCCAGGAACTTCCTCCAGGTCTCCCACATGGGTGCAGGGTCCCAAGGCTTTCAGCCGTCCATGACTGCTTTCCCAGGCCACAAGCAGGGAGTTGGATGGGAAGTGGAGCTGCCAGGATTAGAACCTGTGCCCATATGGAATTCCAGGCACATTCAAGGTGAGGACTTTAGCTACTAGGCCACCACGCCAGGCCTGCCACAGTTAATTTTTTATTTTTTATTATTTTTTCATTGGAAAGGCGGATATACAGAGAGGAGAGACAGAGAGGAAGATCTTCCGTCTGCTGATTCACTCCCCAAGTGAGCGCAACGGGCCGATACTATGCCGATCTGAAGCCAGGAGACTCTTCCGGGTCTCCCACGCGGGTGCAGGGTCCCAAAGCTTTGGGCTGTCCTCAACTGCTTTCCCAGGCCACAGGCAGGGAGCTGGAAGGGAAGCGGGGCTGCCAGGATTAGAACCGGCGCCCATATGGGATCCCGGGCGTGCAAGGCGAGGACCTTAACCACTGCGCCACTGTGCCGGGCCCCACAGTTAATTTTTAAGTAATGAGATAGAGTGTAAAGAGAGATATGCAAAATGCAAAGCTACCACTTTATGACTTAAAATGATCACTTGGGTTATTCCACTCAAGAT